TTCAGAAAGGTGGCAGGCCTGCAAAGAAAGAGGAGTGGGATTTGAAGGGAGTAAATTCAGGCACGAGATGTAGATAATGCACAATGATGCCGTTTTCAGATGAAATCTACAATAAAACCCAAGCCTTTTACTCAGAGATTATTGTCCTCACCCTCTCCTAGGTCAATAAACATAGAGCTGAGGGCTCTGACCTCATCATTAATTTTTTTCACCAATAAATCTTCATTTATCTGCATCTGTCGTTCATTAAGGACGTTCCACAGAACTTTGTTGTCAAGGTTGCCCAGGGAAACTGCTGAATTAACCTCAAGTGGTCTAGCTGTTGCCAATGGCAACACTCTAGCTGCATCTCCCCATCAAACAAGAGACAGGTGTGCTAGTTATGTATTTAAAAAAATAAATAAAAAGCAGCCAATTGCTTGTGGCCCTGACTTTATGTAATAAATATTAATCTTCAACCAGCCTGCAGTGTGTGTACATGGGAAAAGCCTGTCAGATATGGTGAGAATTCATTGCTGTTGTAAATATCAAGGGAACCTCTAGCACAGAGACCGTCACCAAGGAACATTTATGCAGTGCTTTCTTTAGATTTCCTCCTGGTGGCTGCATCCTTCATATCCGTCCCAGGTCCAGACAGCATAACCAAAGAATACATGAATTCTCCTTCCCCATCCTATCAAAATTGGCCAGTGTGGGAGACACCCAGATTAATGACAAGCAATGAAAAGTGCCTCGTCAGTGTCTCCTAAATACACGGGAAATTATACAATTTACTCTGATTTTCTGGAAAAAGCAAGAAATAATACATTAATTAAATAAACAGGTGATTTCTAGGAACTTCCACTGTAGGATATGCACCCCGCTCTGCTGTCACTTTTGTATCGGCAGATTGGGCACAGGGTGCAAAGTCTGACTTTGGGCACAGACCTATTTTCTGGTCTCAGGTTCCCAAGTCACTTAGGTGTGTTTAAAAAAGGAACCCAAGGTGACTTGAATCATTAAAGGAAGCCTAAGATCACCCTCGTGGCTTTCAAATATTTGTCAAATACTTCCAAATGAGGGATATCACATATGTAACAGAGGAGGCCAGGGTTTCAAATGGTATGGAGTTCATTTATTTTAAACATGTATAAAGTTTTCTCTAACCTCACTTTTAAGATTCTAGGTTTCTATTATTAAGTATCACTTACATGGCACTGCTTGAGTTTTCTCTGTATGATTTTCACCAAGTGATGGTTTGCAGATGTGGAAAATCACACTTAGCTTTGATTCCTTTAATCCCGCCCAGATTCAGCTTCAACTTTTAGATTTAGGTATCTCAGGAAATTCTCATTCTTGAGTGGTCCTCTATGCAAATTATATTTGGAGGGGTCTTCTGAGCTACCTCTGATGCCTAAATGCCATTTCATCCATCCAGCACAGTCAGAAATCTGGAAATTCAGCATATAGTACATGCCATTCTCGTGGCATTGTCCTGAGCATTGCATATATCTGAGACAGTAATCTCAGACCCGTTCCTAGTGGGCAGGTGTCCACATCACAAATCCACCAGGAATATAGAACCATGTGCAGTCGCTACCAGACACAGCTGGACTGAAAACAGTGGCATCAGGTGAAAGTGTCTGGATCCTCTTGATCACCAGAACCACTCTGTCTCTTGCTGACATTTTGCTAGTATGTAATTGACATTTCTCATGACTGAAATTTAATCCATTGCTCCTTGATCAGCTGTCTCAGCCCCTGTAAAAGCCTTCGCATGGTTTATTCTCTCTATTATTGGTAGACGATTCTTCTGCCTCCCCTTACATTCCTTTTCCCTTACACTGGTATCATGTTTAGTTCCCGCGTAGATTCTCTCTTCTCACCTGCAGCTGATGGGCCAAATGTAATCCGTAGCATTATAAAACACGTCCTCTCTGTAACCACAGGGAAGGACACAGATGATGAACTGGAGGACTTTATTGTTGGTGAACTCAATAACAATTAATTGTCCTTTTCATACTGGGTAGAATTTTTTAAAGCACCAAAGTGATTTAGGATTAATCTGACTGGGGCTCCTAGGTATTTTAGGTGCTTTTGAAAATGCTACTCAATATACATAATATTTGAATGGCTGTCCTGAAGCTGTACTGGGGTTCATTCTCTGCAAGAGAAGGGTAGGAGCAGTTACACTGCTCTCAGCACCTTCCTCTTGCTGATTTAAAAATGGCATCGATCGTCTCCCAAACCACTTGGTCAGAATCTTCCAATCACAACTACGACACAAGGATGGTATTTAGAAAGTGGGAATCCTCTTTAAAAGCTAACCCATGAGTTGTCAGAGTAACAAAATAAACCTCTTTAAATGGCTACAATATTCATGCAATGTGTGATTCAGCCACTGAAAAATCAGGACTTGAATCAGGACAACCTTTGTGCCACAAGTAAGCTGAGAGTCAGACTGTGCTCCTCCTTTAGGGCTGTCCGAGTGGATATTTTAGGAGAATGGTGATAGGATAGTGAGGTTTCCATCTCTCTGTACCTCATTCAAATCCAGATTAGGTAAACAGTCGTTTCCATTTGATGACTATATGGCAGCCTGCATGGAGTGAATTTGGTAGGTCTCAGTTCAGTTCCCAGTGGATAGCTGTCCGCATCACACAGCCAGAAATAGGTATAAACTGGCTCCTTTGTTATCACTGAGTCCAAGAACCGAATGACATTCTCTCTCTCCTGTGCCTAGTCTTCAGTCTCCAAAAAAACTATATTCAATTTTTTCAAATATCTTTGCCTAAAGTTAAGCATTTAAATAAGTAACTTGATTTTTCAGAGATGCTGAACACTTACAGTTCCTATGGTCTTCAATGGAAAATCATTGGATCAGTTATCTGATACCTAGATATGGATTTAGTGGTCTGATTTTCAAAAGTGCTGGGCACCCAACAGCTCCCATTGAAGTCAATAAGAGCTGTTGGGAGACTTAGCACTTTGAACAAATGGCCATTAGGTACCTGATTTTAGGCACCCAAGTTTGGAAAGTTTGGCCTATTGTTATAAACTGATGTGTGAGCACCCCCTATTGGCCAAGCAGCAGTTGAACTAGTATATCCTTTTTTATAGAACAGTGTCGATATAACCAAAGCTGCATGCGTCCAGAAAATGATGCAGATAAAATGAGCTTCTTAATTTCAGCATTGTTAGAAATACAGGGGGAAAGACCTGTGTCTGCCAAACTGACAAAACTGGCAACTAAGGAAATGTCATTATAATTCTAAGAGGGTGTTACAAAAAATGGAGATAAAAATGTACAATTTATTTTTAAAAATATGTAATAGTTTTTTATAGTTCCAGTTTTAATAAACCTTTTTCTTACATTTGTAATGTGTATATAGTTCTTTTGACAAATATTTTCTCCAAAGCAAATGACTCTGTGTTTAAAAAAAGTAAATCACTGCCAGTAGCCCAAGGCTCATGAGAAACCATACAGCAACAAGGTACTCAGCTACTACAATGTTGTGCACCAGAGAGAGAGAGCTCAAACCTTAGTGCAGAACCCAGTGTTCATGATCACACCTGAAATAACAAACCAGTGCTGATTAAAATCTCAGCTGTAACAAATCTTAAATAAAATCTTGTATTTAGATTGAAAGCTCTAAGTGCTTGTGAGCTCTTTGGGGAAGGGACTGTTTTTTGTTTGTACACTGCCTAGCACAATGGGGTCCTGGGCCATGACTAAGGTCCTAGATGCTATGATAATACACATAACAACAAATTCCAGTCCAGTGAAGCCCAGCACTGCTACACTGAATGATAACATCATCTCACTGCAATGCTATGCATCATCATAAGAATGGCCATAGTGGGTCAGAACAGTGATCCATCTAGCCCAGTATCCTGTCTTCCGCCAGTGGCCAGTGCCAGATCCCTCAGAGGGAGTGAACAGAATATGGCAATTTATCGAGTGACCCATTTCCTGTTGTCCAGGCCCAGCTTCTGGCAGTCAGAAGTTCAGAGACACCCAGAACATGGTGGTTGAAGAATCCACCCACCCCCATCCGTTGCATCTAAAGAACTCACTCAAACAACAGGTTGTCAAATTATATCAGACTATCATCGCATTGCACCACAACACTGACACACCATGGCACCAAGAAGTTGTACTGGAAAAAAGAAGTCCCCACACTGTGACAATGGATCAGCGTGATAATCAAAGTGCCATCGTTCTGTGTCACCAGCCTGAGCAAAAATGTCATCTCACAACAGCAACATGACCTCAGGCAGGGTCCAGCCGGGACCCCACACGTGCCATCATGATGCCCAGTTAGGTGACATCATCAGGCTGAGCCACTGCCTCATCGTGGATGAGGTCATCACGTCAGCACACGCATCGTTGACATTTGGTTTGCTCATCATGATGTGCGGTGACGTCATCACACCGAGCCACTGCCGCGTCGCCAATGAAGTCACACGTCACCGGGAGGATCATCGTTCTGTGATGACACGTTGCGCGGTGACCTCATCAGGCTGTGCCATGTCTCATCACAGCACCAAGCCCCCCCCCCTCGCTGTCCCCGCCAATGGGGAGCGAGGCAGGCGCACGGGCCCCTGGGCGCCCCCTAGGGAAAGCCCGGAGACGGGCTGGGCGGGATTTCCGGCACAGCCGGCACGTGATTGGCAGGCGAGGGTGAACGGAAGCGGAAGCAGCGTAGCGCGCAGGCGCAGCGG